AGAGAGAGAGAGAGAGAGAGAGAGAGAGAAAGAGAGAGAGAGTTATGTATGATATATGTACAAACGTAGCGATTACCGTGAGTATCAATGTTATATATAATATAAGTTATAGTGTCATAGTCATGTGTGAGTTATATAATAGACAAACGTAACGTTTATCGTGAGTACCATTATCATGGTGTCATAGTTATACATGAGATAGGTGTTGTTCATTTGTCTTGCTTTAAATGAAAAAAATATCTATTTACCTTGAACAAAAGTCGAGATGGTTGCCATTGAAATATGTGGGGTCGCCTGTTTTCAAAAGTAAAATTATCGGGAAAATGGCCGCCAAAGTTTGGTAACTTCAATAGCTTAAGAGTCTTTGAAAATTGAAAATTACACATTTTTCGCCTTTAAACAAAGTTTTGCAGTAAAATTGATATGGAAATGTGTTTGCAGATGAACATAAAAGGTGTTTAGCTAAAAAAAACAAAATTTCGATAAAAGTTGCCACACTGGTGGAAATATGCCAGTTTCTTGACTTTCATTATTTTGACGAGCGCCATATTTCTCCATGCTGCCTCACATATACAAAAGTAACGTTTACAGTGAGTTACAGTATTATAGTGTCATAAGACTGTGACTGTTCAACGCAACACTTTTCCCGCCTTCAGAACAACCCATCCAGACGGGCACTGCCGCACCAGCCACCACTGACCTGCCGATGACCACAGGCGATATGATGACCATGACCACAACCACCGGTGCTCCGGCCAGTACGGTCAGTGTGACCACCCCCTCTATGCCGATGGTCAACACCAGCGTGATCACAGCCACGGTGAGTCAGTGCAATGACCATCTGGACGGCGGCATGGACTGTACGGCGCTCAGTGGCGTCTGCTCTTCTGTGCTGGCTCTCAGCGTCTGCCCCAAGTTCTGCGGACTTTGCTGTGAGTAATTCCTCGAGACTTAAATTGTTTGAGTAAGGTTTTACGGCCCTCGCAAATGCAACCTCCCCACACAGGTCTCGAACTTGTCTTCTCTGTCTCACCTTGTCACACCTCGTCCTCAGTGTTGGGGTCACTACAGTCGGAACTTATCCATCTCTGCTCTCCCTCCCCCCCCCCCTTTGAGGATTGTCTTCTGTGTGCAACAGCGAAGCCCTATAAACGCTACGCCAAAGTCGCAGTTTAGTTAGTTTTAGTAAGGTTTTACGGCACTCGCAACTGCATAGGGTCATATTATGATGAGCAGCAAGGGGTAGATATTAAGAGAGAAGTCCAAACGGGGAATCAGGCCTACTCTGCTCACCCTCTCTAGCCTCAACAGCACACAGTCTGCTTCAACTATCAAGGCACCCCAGAAATAGCAGTTCAGAAGACAGTGACAAACATGCAAAAGAAGTAGAGGAAAAAATGACGATAGTGAGGATAAAGAAAGACAAAGCAGAAGTTCTCCCTATGTAGTTCCGGCACAATATATATACATGGCATTGATCAATCAGCCCATTTACAATTCAACTGCGCATAAGAACATGCTAATATCCCTCCTCTGGAAATGGCCTAAAGACAACTTCAGTCAGTAGCACTGCTATGGTGGGTGCATCGTAACTTAGCCGGCCAGCTATTTGGACAAATTGACGAGCGCCTGATTTAATAATAATAATAATAATAATAATAATAATAATAATAATAATAATAATAATAATAGTAATAATAGTAATGATAGTAATAAAAGACATTTATATAGCGCTCAACCCCGATTAAAGTACACAGGCTCTGAGCGCTTTACAATACAGTACAACGTACAACAGTAACATGAAACGTTGTGTTCTGACTAAAGAAAATTATTTCAAATATACATCTTATGATTTAAAAACAGAAACGACTTCAGCTGACATTTGAATGAATCAAAAGATTTGATCACTCTTAAAGTACTTGGTAAAGCATTCCAGATCTAGGGGCCTTGGTATTCAAACGCCCTTTCATTCATTGTTTTAAGTTTCATAGATGGTCAAATAAAAAAACACATTTCATGAATTCACCACGTTGTGACCCAAATACATCACATGTTCAAAGAAGAATTAATATCTTGGTTATGAGAGGCGCCGTAAATCCTTTCAAAAACTCTACTGCCTTTTGGCTAGTGATTAAACTGGTATTGGATTAGCAGAATAAAAGATCAAAGATTACATTGTGTTGAATGGGGTCATTACAGTCAAACTCGAATTCTGGTGCAGCATTATCAGTGCTTTGATATCTTTGGATAGGATTTGGGAGAGCAGAGTTATCTCACTTCGAACAAAGCTGAGGATTTTCAATTCAAACGTGAAGTCGGTCCTGCTGTATGGATGTGAGACATGGAACACATCACAGACTTACATAAAGAGGATCCAGGTTTTCTTGAACAAGTTTCTAAGAAAATTACTGAGGATCAGATGGACAGACAGGGTCACCAATGTGGAAGTGTTAAGGAAAACAAGACAGATCCCAGTCAGAGATAAGATAGGAAGAAGGCGGTGGCGATGGATTGGACATACTCTCAGGAAGTCAGGCAGCTGCATAACAAAGAGAGTTTTGGAATGGAACCAATAGGGTAAGCGATCAAGAGGAAGACCTCGTGGAACCTGGAGAAGAATCACAGAAATTGATGTACAGAAAAGTGGGAAGACATGGAATAACATCAAGAGGCTAGCCAAGGATAGAGAAAGGTGGAAGGTGTTTGTCCGTGGCCTATACCCTGGTGCAGGGTGAGAAAGGCAATGATGATGATGATTATCAATTAAAACTACACATATAGTTGAGATAGGCAGACCGGTGTCAGATTGACCTCTTTCATCTCTCGGATAACAACGGTAAGGGGGGGTGGTGGTGGTGGAGGAGGTAATCATCAAGGTCTGAACTCCTCGCCATGGCTGGCAACATATCGGCATCAAGCTACTGACTACAGATCAAAATCCTTTAACACTGACAATTGGAATGTAGTTAGGACATTTCATCCCATAGGCAAAGAAGCAATGTTTTAAAAAATTAATTAGATACACAAGATAATAAGAACGAATGATGTTATACATATTATTGTGTCTTTCAGAAGTTGGGTGAAAGGGCAAGTCTCAATCAAATCAGTAAAACAATGGTGTATTCAGGACATAAGACACATAGAAGAGTTGTTGGAATTTTATTTGATAAAGACAGCATCAGCAAAGAGGATCAAACTTCTTTTAGATAAACTTAATGTAGGTACACCAGGATAGAAAAAAAAAACCCATTCAGGTTTTCATATCAATACCGAAGCTTGACAAATATGGAAACAGGGAATTTTGGAGGAAAAACGGATAAGATAATAAAAGAAATAAAGTATCGGGATATAACATACATCCTTATATCAGACTTGAGTGCAAAGATATGGAATAAACGACTGGAGAAATGTTCATAAAGTGGAAACATGGAGAAAAGAAAGAAACTTATAGTCCGGTGTCGAGAAAATAATGTCATGACTTCAAATACCCGTTGTGAGAATAACCTTTGAACGTGATGAGCCAGAAAGAGTGACGGAAAACGAACTTGCAATAAAGGAAATAAAGACTGCTAGCTGGCCCCTCTTTCGATGAAAGGAATGATCGGTGCATTAACATCAGCTGAAAGTCACTGGCCTATCATATTCACACTCTGCTCGAATGGAGAAATAAATCTTGAGAGATGCTAAAAATTAAAAGGTCTAGATCTATACGGGTCGGACACTTAAAATAGTGTTCAGTATTGCGCGACAATGCGCGATAGTATCGAACGGAAGTACGACTTAAATTAAAGAAACCTGGCGGATGTTCTAAAATTACAGATACAGAAGCGTCGGCCTAAAAAAGCGATCGGCGAAATAAAGAAATTAAGCTTTTTGCAGTAAAAGTATTTACTACTAATCAGATGGCGTCAATCTCATATAAATGGGCAAGGGAAAAAAAAGAACCATAAACATTCTAGAATTTAAAAATAAGTCAGGTGAGAAGAAACGGATATACAACAGACTGTTTTAGACCACAAGAAGATGGTAGTTAGATGGGCTAACCAAATGTTTTAAATAGATTTTCCGAATACAAAGGAAACGTGTTCATGTTCATGAAGGGGGAAATAACTGTCAATATGCAATAAATAAATAAATAAATAAATAAATAAATAAATAAATAAATAAATACATAAATAAATAAATAAATAAATTAATTAACGGACTGTCTATTTTTAGACAAAGTAAAGAAGATGAAATAACTTGTCTTTCATAGTTTTGAATAAATAATCAAGTGCCATACAAGTTTTGTCAATTTTATTACAAAACAATTGACCGAGATGATTAAATGAAAGAACGAGAAACAATTTATGGCCAGAAATAATTAAAAACCATTGACAATGGCACCCCAACAGCTGTAATCGACTTTTTAATGTCAAGGGACAGGTGTATGTATTGAAGCACTAAAAGATCCATACTCAGGATTCATTGATTATTCAAAGTCTTTTGATGAAGACAGACATAATTAACTGTCAAATTTGTGGGAAGAACTATTTACAGATGAAAATGATTCAGAATCATTAGAAATGTTTACCGTGGCCAGAATGTTGTGGTATCAATTAAGTAAAACGTTATGTTAAAAAAATGTAAAAAGGAATACGGCAAGGCTGCTTTATACCACCAGTTCTCTTTAAAGCATGCATTATACAGTCATGTTCAAATAAAGAAGGAAATCCAAGCCTCAAAGAAAATGTAGAGAATATAAATATACTACATAACATCTGATATGCTGATGATGAACCTTTCATTGCATCTTCAAAAACTGTTCAAGATATTTTTGTTACAGAAAGTGAATGTAAAAGGTCACTTTTTGCTTAAAGTACAGACGTAGGTGGGAATGGGTACCTGGCCATAGACAGTGAAATATAGTATCAGTATGTTAGTGTTTTAGAGCCTATAAATGACTGCTTGTACAGCTTCCCAGGAGGTTGAGGTTGTTTCAGAATGCTCTCAAGTCTGCTGGGGTAATAGTATAAATTGCAAAACGCACAGAGCTTGCTTTTGAGCGGGGATTTGCGTTATACAAATGCTATCTATTGTTATTATTGTTATTATTATTATTATTATTATTATTATTATTATTATTATTATTATTATTATTATTACTATTTTTATTATTATTATTATTAAGCGAAAGGTATGGAGACAAACGCTACCGCTACAGTGCTCAAAGCGGTGATGGGAAGGTTATAAATAGACTTTGGTTCTAACTTCCTTGAGCTGTGGAGAGTTCCAAAAGCAAAGTAAGCCATTCAACATAACAAAGGAATGATGGCAGTCGTTGGTAACCATAATTTGTTTTAGAACCAAGCCTTGTAGGCCTTACTTATGAAATAATCTTAGGACAAGAAATGAAAACTGCTTTTTTGTATATCACGAATAAGTGTGTCTGTCCCAGAGTAAGTTATGGTAGCAGATAAATTAATATTGCTTGGACTCAGTATTAATTTACACTGGGGTAATGACCCATGGGTCCGAATTATAAATTAACTAGCTGGGCCCCCTTTCGATGAAAGGAATTGTCGTTTCATTAAAATGATGCGCAAACGTGGTTTTCAACACAAAAGGGAGGTTGACGTCTTGAAAAATTGTTTTGAAGTTTGAAAAGGGAGGTTTGACGTCATGAAAACTTGTGTTAAGAAAAGACTTCCGGTTTTTAACAAATGAGATTGCGAAATTGTTGATCGTAAGTTAGCGTTAGCCTAGGCCTAGAACTCTGTGTGGACGAAACAAAGCATTTTGGAAAAATCGGGGAAAGCAGTTTGCGTGGATTTTTTAAAATTAGGTCCTAGCCACATAGATGCTGTAAACGCCTGCAAAATTTCAAAGGCGTGGGTTAGGTAATAATGGAGGAGTTCGTGCACAAAGCCTCCCAAGTCCACTTGTACATATCTCGTAGATCAAGTTTGCATTGCTTGTACACTATGAATTTCTTTTTAGCACTTCAATAATACCAGCTGATATAGAAAACAGATATTATGTAAACTATACCCCAAGTTCCTGCTGACGCTTTAGAAGTAATAAATAAACCAATTGAAGGGGGCAGAGAAATAAATGATAGAGGTAATATTCTGCAAAAAAATTAATGGATTTCTGTGTATGACGACAGACGCCAGGGGAGACAACATAACATGGCTTTTAAAGGAAATGTAAGGATGGCTTTAAATCGGAATTATCGCCCTTACAAATTACATAAACGGTATGTGATCTTTTTTTTAGCACAAGGGGGCTATCCCGAAAAATGCTGTTTTGAGAAAACCGAAGGTAATGTTTTTGTGCCTAGTTCAGTTTCTTTAAAGTACAAGGAGAGTTTTGTCTATAACAAAACATATATTATACACACCAATGAAACCAAACTTCTCTTACTGGTAGGGCAATGCCCACATTTGGTGTAGGTCAAGATTTCTGGAAACCCCCGAAATCCGGGTTAGCCTGCTTGTCCTTAAAAGCGACCATATTATCATTCCTAATTCCAGCTGGGTTGGATTTTTTTCGTACTTTTTCTCGAAACAACGTCTACGTGACCCAGCTCCTCCATGTTTCTGACCCTTTCAATTGTTCAGCGAAAAGTGCGTGAGGGATTGGGAGTATTAATTAATGTAAAAAAAAAACTATTGACCTGAATTTCTGTACCCTGACACCGAAATATAACGCGATAAATTCGTAAACTTTTGTCAGTGTTTTAGATATCTTTTTCTCACAAACATAATTTTTCGTTACAGCTTTTCATTTTCAGCATGAACTTGAATTCGACTCTAATGTCCACTTCAACACGATGTAAGTGTTTCACCGGGTTAATCCTGTGAAGCGATATTTATCTCCTATACGGTGGTGAAAATGGTGAAATGGCATGAGTTTAATGCCCCTATCAACACTATTAGGTTATATAAGAGACGGGACCTCCTAGTTTAACGTCCGTCTCCGATAGGACCTATCTCCTATACGACTAAGTGCAAATTGTTTAAAACTCTCAAACAACTTTACCTTTAAAAAATCAAACAAACAAACCAACAAACCAACAAAATTACGGCTCGCATGCCAGATCCAGCCCTCAAGCAGTGTCCATTTGGCCTGTGAATGGACCCAGATATCAATAATGAATATGCTTCTCAGTGAGTTGATAATTGATAAAAAGAAAACTGTTTGTCTTGAGAATTAAAATCAATAGTTTCTACTCATAGTCCAACCACACAGCCAGAGACAGCCTAACCCCAGACAGTCTTACCAGAGACAGTCTTAACCGAGACAATCTAACCCCTAGACAGTGAGGGGGATACAGTTCCCGGGAAACGTTCACCTTCAAGCGTTGTGCATGCATGGGTCTCAACTCAGAATTTTAAAAAAAGGAAGAACTTTCCGCTTGATCGCTACAGAAGACAATTTTCGCGAGACACCCATTATCATCATACTGCTTTACTGCTTAAGCCAAGAGTGCTGAATTAAAAACCGTCGATTTATCAAAGCAAGGTTATATCGTACCAATTTGAGGGTTTGGAAGATAATTTCTAGTAAAAGAGTCACTAACCAAATAATATTTACCATCTTGATTATGTACAGAAAGTGGTGGCGCGTTACTGAGAGGTGAGAAGCTATACGGGTCGACAGATGAACTGAGCAGGACGGCCCAATTTATGACAGATAGCGGACTTCGATAGTGATACGGTCGAGGAGAAGAAGACTGAGAGGTGCCCCTCTCGGCAGCGGAGTTTATCGGAGGAAATGGCGGTTGCGGAAATCCGCTTTAACCCTATCCGTACGTCGTGTTTCACTACCGTATCCAAACAACCTGAGGAACTCTGTGCCACCACTTTCCAAAGAGGAAATTTACTCGTTAATCAGATCTGTACGCTTTGCATAGCAGTCAGTCGAAATGATTTTTTGGAGAAATACTGAAAGTTTCAGAGATCTTCGCTCTAGAAGTATTCTAAAATGTGAAAAATACAACCCCAGGGGTACAATATGACCCCATGGCGTACGGATAGGGTTCATCATCATCATCATCCAGGGCAGGACTTGCGACAGACATCGGCGATCATGGTTCTCCATTCATTCCTTTGCTCGTGTGTTCTAAAAAAAGCTACGTTTCCCTGATCTTTCCCTGTTATCCATTTGTTTAGGTTTCCTAAGTATTGGGTTCTGGACCTACCCCTGCCTCGCTTGCCCTCAATTTTGCCAGTGAGAGCTAGATGTTCAAGACCCTTATATCTATTCAGGTGTCCCAAAAACTGCACTCGGATAGGGTTAAAAAGGGGAATATTGAGACTCATGGTTGTGGAGAGACTAGACTGCATGTCCTCAAAGAGTTAGTATGATTTCTTTTTCCCTCGCCCTTTCAGAGAATTCCCGGAACATGATGCTGCCCCGACCTCCCACACCACACGGGAAAAGTTGGCCCCTGAGCTCTGAGTCTGAGCTAGAAGACAGCTAGTATTGCTTTGCACGCACTCACCAACGAAAAGAAATAAAACATGGTTGAAATGAGCAAGGAATGAGTATTTTGTTTCTAATAACAGTTTTCATTCTCGTGTTTTCTCGTCAACCTTGATTCTTTATTTTGTTGTTGTTGTTGTTTTGTTGTTGTTGTTGTTACTGCTGTTTGTTGTTGCTGTTGCTGTTGCTGTGTGTGTGTGTGTGTGTGTGTGTGTGTGTGT